TGTGTCACTTTTTCATTTTACACAGTATTTTATACTTTCTAAAAACTTTTCATATGATTTTTCAAAACATTCCTAATTTTAAAGGTATTTTTGTAAGCACTCCTTTGTGTTCGGGTTCTGGTCCACTTATACCAAAATCGTGTTTTTGAAACACGACTTTGGCTATTGGAATGCTTTGATCTGGATCCTTCATTTGGTGCAATTGTGATAGTTCGATCTGTGGTTTTTTACCTGAGTATATATAGACTTCTTTCTCTCTTTTGTCCGGTGCTTCGTGACTTTTCTGAGTGATTATTTTTAAGGTTTTTCTTGTCTAATTTTTTGTCTGTAATCTTTGAGGTGTTTTCTCTGTAAATTGTTAGAGTTTTGATTATGATTGTTTTGAGAAACCAATCCGTGAGAGAAATTGTATAGATTACTAGAGCTTTCTTATTATTATTTTTTAATTCTTTAAATTGCAGTTCGTAACTCAATGTGTTACATATATTATGCCACATAATTTCTCTTCCACAAACGTCATCACCATCCCAAAAGTCATATCAAACTTTATTACACACTTGCATCTCAGCCACCGCTGATGCCACTTAAGACATCGTGTCACATCATCTACAATACCACCACTAGACCATTGACATCTCCACCATAAGCCATCACTTGCAAAACCTTATCCCATCCAACCGATCACCACATGATCGAAATCAAGCCTCACAACACCATTGCCGCCATAACCACCTCAACCTATCAAATATGCCACTGCTGCCACTACCGTCTTCGTCATCTCAATCACCGCCTACATTTTCACTTACAAAATTAGTTCGTTAATTACGGTCGGAACTTGTATTCTACCACACAACACTAAAGATTAATGTAAATCGAGAGAATTAATTCAAGTGTCTTCAAACTAGTCTTCAATTTCGAAAATAAACCAAAAGAGGGTCCCGTCTTCGATTAAACTCAATAGTGGGTGAAAACGAAGACCAAATGTATGCAATTTTGTAATTCCAACAGGTGATAGGTTACATCAATCCATTGTTGGAAATTCGAACTATATGTTAAATAGAGCAAAGAAATTGACGAGTCGATCAATATTAATTAGCTATACTTAAATTTCACGTGCGTTTTGTCATGCTTTCCATCATCTATTATTGAGTTAAATACCAGTTCTCGTGTACGTGTTGTTGTCTCGTAAATCTTAAATTTTTGTCTGCTTTTAATTACTCGTTCTCTAAAAAATGACTTTCTATCCAAAAAATCGAAGCTCGTAAAAGGGCAAAGTAGATTATTTACTATATCATAATTGTAAAGCATTATTATTGCTGAGTGATATTGAAAGGCTAATTTTTGTGGATGTGACGAAAGATGTAGGCATGTTTGCCTATGCATAAGCCTAATTATGAGATTAGTTAAGGAGTCTTAATTCTAAAGCAATAATTCATTTCAATCAATATGCAAGTTGGACCTACCATGTTCCTTTTTGGTAATGGAAAGGAAGGGTTCCATCCAAGCGTACGTGCGTTTCTATTTGCATGCA